TGCCCAGTACTCTAAGTATTTTCTTTTTTCTTCTCTGAGGGACTTTTGCCTGGAGATGAAGTCAGGAAAGGTCAGAAACACAGAGCAGGGATGCTCAGCTTGTGGAAATGTGGGGCGCTGGGGCCTCAGTGGTAGGTTTTCTCCTCACGCCTCTTGCTGAAAGCTCTAGGAGCTCAAAGGAAGAGAATTTTAAACCTACTGACCCGGTCCTTTTCGTCCATAACCTTCTTTCAATTAAAAAAAAAAACAACAAAAAACTGCTAGCCTTAAGTCTCATTTCTCTTGGACCACACAGGTGTCAACTAGTTACTGGTCTTGGATTATCAGTTCATCAGTTTATTCAGAATAGTTCAGTTCAGTTCAGTTCAGTCGTTCAGTCGTGTCTGACTCTTTGCGACCCCATGAACCACAGCACGCCAGGCCTCCCTGTCCATCACCAACTCCCGGAATTTACTCAAACTTATGTCCATTGAGTCAGTGATGCCATCCAGCCATCTCATCCTCTGTTGTCCCCTTCTCCTCCTGCCCCCAATCCCTCCCAGCATCAGGGTCTTTTCCAATCCCCATGGACAGAGGACCCTGGTGGGCTTCAGTCCATAGGGTCGCAGAGTCGGACATGACTGGGCGACTAACCACACAGGGCCCATGGTAAAAGTTAATCTCCTCTGTCACTTCTGTCATAAAAGCTGCTCTTCAAGTGACAGTCTAATGGAAAAGTGGCATAATGCAAGATATAAGCTCGTTTTAAATTATTGTATTATTTATTTTAATTAAGTATAGTCGATTACAATGTGGTGTTAATCCCCGATGTACAGTAAAGTGATTCAGTTATATACATTCTTTTTTATATTCTTTTCCATTATGGTTTACCACACGATATTGAATGTAGTTCCCTGTGCTGTATAGTAGGACCTTGTTGTTTATCCATTCTCTCTATTTATGTCCCTAATTTTTATCTGGCAACTCCAAATTCCCACTCCATCCTTCCCCTACCCTAAGATAAACTGTTTACTTAAGAGAATCTTCTCTCCCTGGGTTAGTATGAAATAATGCTTTAAAGACAAGAACAACACAGATTTCAGATAGTAACAGGGCAATTCCGTTTGCTTTGATTCTGTATCTCTGGGCAGGTAGATCTTTATTTATGGATGTTTTGTGTGCTTCACACACCTAATAGGGGACCCTCTAATTTCTCAAACTAGTGTTAATGTAGATGTCACTATCCCTTGCTTATCTTGCAAGCCCCTTGAAAACTTCACCAGGTCCAGCAGTTTTGATTCACCACCGGTAACTCCCTCAGTGTCCACAGGGGGGCAGGACACACCATACTGCACAGTTGTCGGTATTCCCTTCCCTTTGGAGGGAAAAAAATCTAACCATGAAAAGAATACCTATTAAGCTGCGAAAGCTGCCTATACCAGACCTTCTCATTTCAGCTCAAGAACCTCTCCCCCCTTTTGCTGTTCCTCATAGAAGAAATAGCTGAAGAAATTACAAGAGAATCTAAGACTGGACTGAAAAATTCTACAACATTGTTTCAAATTCTCAAAATGTTCTGAGAAGGTCTAGAGGCAGATCTTAGTAGTTTGTTCTCATATCTTTATTTTTTACAAGACATAAACACACACACACACGGAGCAAAGGCCTCAGTGTGGCCTTGTTAATGCTGAAATTCTTATTTGAAACATATCCACGAGGGAGGGAGAGGTAGAGTTTTATCCCTTACTGGGGATCACTGTCATAATACTTGAGATGTGAAATGCTTTCCAGTATAGGGAAAGCACTGGATTAAGAGTCAGAAAGACTTGCCTCCCTCCTAGTTGTGAGTAGATCCCTGACTGGCTTGTGACCTTGGGTCCCATTCACTGAGTTTGTCCGTCTGCTCACCGGTGTCATGAGAAGTGCTTTCAGGCAAAGGAGAGCCAACACCTTTGCTTGGACCTGAGTCTGGTAGCGATGCAGGAGGATGATCTTTGCACCAGAGGAATCCTGCTGGGAGAACAGACCACATCCTCTGTGGTCCCTATCCTAGTGTCATATCCTCTTACCCATGACTCCATCCAGTGCTTCTAAGGTACAATAGGCTGATGACTTTGGTTCCTGTTTACTGATAACTTGTGGCAGATAATAACTGCCATGAGCAAAAAGAAGAGAGAACATAATAGGACAGCGGCTGCAAGCAGGAAGCCTTCTTATTGACTGGGGGTGGGGGTGGGGGGTGGGGCCTGAAACCATGAATCACCACTAATCAGACTCCGAAACGACAGAAATTAAAATACTTGATAACCCAAACCACAAGTGTTCATTTCCCCGAGGGAAGGGATGGAGAGAGACCGAAAGGAGGAGGCCTCTCCGGATTGACACAGGAGAATACAAGCGGCAGGCGGAAGGGTAAATGCTTCAAGTGGGAAACAGGGGGTTTTAGTCTGTGGTTTGGGAGAGATGGCATGTGCAGGGAGGGGAGGGCTGGTGAAGATCTGCAGAGGGGACAGAAAGGACACGGAAGACACACATCCAAGGAAACGGCCTTGGCAATAAAACCAAACCAAACCAGCAAACGGAAAGAAGGACCAGCAGACATGCTTTGGACATAATGTTAAGTGACAAGGGGTGGATACGACATAACATCTATCCTTGTGTGACAATCATAAGTACACAAAAGACAGAGACAGATTACAAGGGGACCCATAATGGCAAGCACATTTTGAAAGTCTGTTGTACTGGCAAAAATCTGAAAAACAATTTGTTTTGTTCAGTTCCACTTCCTTTTATGTTGTTAAGTTTGTAAAATAAATAAATAAATAAATAAACTATTTGGAAGCCCAGAGAAAGGAAGGAAGAAAAGGTTATGGTAAGGCATCTTTGAGTCTAACATCTCAGAGCTTGATAATCTTGAAATGAAAACTGGGACATAAGTAGGCCTGGGATACAGCTGGAAGGGACACCCACGGCAGAGACTGAGAGGAGAGTGGCCAGTTCATAGCCCAGCGGTTAAGAGTCAGGTTCTGGAGCAGTGTGAACTTGGCCCTCAGTTCCCTTAGCTGTAAAATGGGGATAATACAACCCTGATCTCATAAGATCATGTTGAAGATGAAAGGAAACAGGTTCTTCCGGGTGTTTGCCATTACCTAGGGAGGCCAGTGCCCAGACCTTTAGGAAGTTTGGGAACGAAGGGAGCAAGGAAGCAAAACTTCCTCTCTACACACGCAGTCAGGTGACTGGTCTCTGCAGGGACAGAAGGAGGAATGAAATAGCAAAAGGGAGAAGGGGGAAGAAAGTGAGAGGGTGGGGAATATGAAGACTGGGAACACGTGTGCGCGCACACACACATGTACAATGCGGTGTGGGCAAGGAAATGATCTGACAGCAAGTAAAACCATAAAGAAAAGAAAAAAGCAAGAATGAAGTAGAGACACCGGCCCAGGAATGGGATGAGCACTGGGTCTGGAGCCTGCGCCCCTAGATTCTGTTTCTGGCCTCACATCCTGTTGGCGAAGCGTCCTTGGAAAAGTCATTTATCCCCTTTCAGTCTCATTGTTTAAATCTGTGAAAGTGGAAAACTGGAAGGCCAACCTGCCGTAGAACCTGGGGCGATTCAAGAGAATTTTATGGTCGGTGCCGGGAGCACCCAGTAAAAGCACGGGAAACTCGACGTCCACAGCGCTCCAGGGGCACGGAGACCAGCGAGTGAGAGGCAGCCCCTCCGCCTCGATTTCAGCCGTCATGCCCCGGAATGAGTGAGGCAGTGGGTGGAGAAGACAGGCACGGGGAATCTGGGGACAGATAACGTGACCGGGCGAGGCTGAGCTGAAGAGAAACAGATTGGGGAAGAGCTGCAAAGGGAGGGGTCCACCGAAAGGGAAGGGGGGGGGGTCCGAGGAGGGAGAGGGTGGGAAGGCAGAGAGAGATGGGAGGGCGGTGTGGGAAGAAAAGCAGGCTGGGGAAAGAGGGATTGGAATGCAGAAGGAACTTGGGGAAGGAGGACGTATGGAAGGCGGGAGGGAAAGAAGAGAGGGGAAAATGGGGACGCACTGGAGGCGGGGGCCAGGCCTCGAGAGGGGAGAGGACCGGGGGGACAGCTGGAGGAGAAAAGAGCCGCCTAAACCCAGCGTCCGAAGAGGCTGGGGCCTGCACGAGAGCGCTGCAGCTTTCAGCATCCATCCAGACTCCAAAGACTCCTGGCCTTTGCGTGACCTCGAGGGTCGGGAACAGACGCCCGGTCTTTGTGGAAAGCGGCAACCCCAGCAAGAGAACGGTGCTGTTCTGGGCTGAGCCCTACGCCTGGCGCGCGCGGCGAGAGGCTTCCCTGGCCCCTGGGCTGGCCATTGAAGGGGAGCGATCGCCTGGCCCGGGAGGCCGGGGCCGGGAAAGGAAGGTACCACCGCCCGGAGTCGACGCGCAGTCGGCTGCAGAGGCGCCTGCTCGGAGCTGTCTCTGGGGGGCGCCGCCGCCGCCGCCGCCGCTTGTCTCCTCCCGGGGCTGCACGCTCCCAGCCAAGTGGAGGCGACCGAGGTGGGGCGGGTGGGGGGAAGACCGGGAGCCCGCGCAGCGCGGCGCTGCGGAGGGACCGAGCTTCGAGCAGAGCTGGAGGGGCTCTGGCGCTGCGGAGGACCCTGGCTTCCTTGCCGCCGAGCGGCCTCGCGAGCCTACTCCTGCCCGCCGCGCCGGGCTCCGCTCCGCACGCACCGCCCGGCAACCCCGCGCGCGTCCCACGGGGGTGCTGCGTGCCCCCTCCCCGGCCACCCCGACTCACAGAGGCCCCTTCTCCCCCACACCTCCTGCCCACACCACCCGGCCTCTCCTCCCACCCTCTCCTCCCCTCTCCTCCGCTCCCCTCCCCTCCGTCCTCTCCCCTCCCCTCCCGGCGAGGGGCGGGAGGGGGCGTGGCAGGGCCGGGATTTGTGTGGCTGGGACCCGGCTCCTCGCACTCCGAGTCCGCCGGAGGAGCCGGGCCCCGGCCGCTGTCCAGCCGCTCCGTGCCGCCCCGCGCGCCCGGTGCCGCCGCCTCTTGGGGAGACGCTCGCCATGGATACCTCCAGGGTCCTGCTCTCGGCCGTCTTCCTCATCAGTTTCCTGTGGGATCTGCCGGGTTTCCAGCAAGCTTCCATCTCTTCCTCCTCGTCATCCGCCGAGCTGGGCTCCGCCAAGGGAATGCGAAGCCGCAAGGAAGGAAAGATGCCGCGGGCGCCGAGAGAGAAGGCCACGGCCCGGACGCCCCTGGATCGCCAGGAGCCCCAGCCGAGGCCGCAGGGGGAGCCCCAGAGGCGGCCGCCACAGCAGCCCGAGGTTCGGGAGCCTCTCGGCGGGGGCCCGCGCGTGGTGCCGCACGAGTACATGCTGTCAATCTACAGGACTTACGCCATCGCCGAGAAGCTGGGCATCAATGCCAGCTTTTTCCAGTCTTCCAAGTCGGCTAATACGATCACTAGCTTTGTAGACAGGGGACTAGGTAAGTGGCAAAGAGGACGCCCGACTCCTTTCTCCCTGGAGGTCAGCCGCCAGGGCTCAGCTCCGGCGCTGGCAGGACCCTGCATCTGTGAATTTGCCTTCCCGCTCTGCATACCTCCTCCTTTTCTTTTCTTAAATTGCTTTTCCTCAAGCCCAAGTACGTTTCTGAACGCGGCTGCAGATTTTATTCCAGCGTGCAATTCTCCCTGCCTCTCTCTCGTCTGTTTCTTTCTTTCTCTATTCCTTCCTTCTTCCTCTCGCCTTTTGCAGAAAGCAGCGTGGGGGCCGCACGTCTGGTGGCTGCTAGAGGAAGCGTGGAAGGCGGGAGGTGGCGGGTAGATGACCCGGGCTGGAGAGGGGTCGCGGAGGGGACTGATGGAACCCGCGGCGAGGAATCCCGGATGGTACCGGGTGCGCGGTCCAAGGCCCGGAGCTGCGCGGTGACGGACCGAGCGGCCCTGGGACCCGAGCGAGCGCTGGGAAGCCCCGAGCTCCCATCGGCTCCGGGAAAAGCCGGCAGAAGCGAGTGCCGCGGTCCGGAGCAGCGAGTCCGCGAGCAGCGGGTGGCAGTACCCCTGTCCAGCCGCTCCGCCGGTACCCGACGGCTCCCGGCGCTGGGTGTGGGCATGGTCAGCCGCATAGGAGCCCCGCGACCTCGGGGCCGCAACCAAGTCATTTCTGCAGAGGCAGCGGCAACAACTGGCTGGGAGAGCCGGGAGCAGAGGCAAGTGGGCTCAGTTTGGGTGTTTTGTTGGTACTTAATCCACGTGGGTGCCTGGGTGTGCTCATCCACCTTTCTCAGCCAGGCAACTCGCCTCTCTCTGCGCTTCGACCCAGGGGCCCCGTCTTTGGGCCCCTCTGTGGGCTCGGGTGCATGTGTGGGTGGCTGCGGAGACCCCTGAGCCCCCTCCCTGCCACCCGCGCGGGTCTGCAGCGTGGCAAGTGCCTTGGAGAGAACCGCGCGCTCCCCTGGTCCCAGAAATTGGGGAGGGATCCGCCGGCGCCGGGCACTCAGCTCCTAAAGAGACGATAACGTGGAAGGAGATGGGATGAAGGTGGAAAAGGCAAAGGGGAGGTAGGGGGCGAGGAGAAAGGAAGGAGGCATCGGTCCACTCCGCCACCCGCCCAGACGTAGCTCCTCGGCTTTGCTATACCTTCCCCGCCTCCCACTTCCAGGTCAGTGAAAGTGGGGTCGCCCAGGAACTGGCCAATGCCGGGGTTCGGACCGAGAGGACCACCCGGCTGACCTGGGGACTTGCACGCCCTTGAAATTTACAGAGCAGGCCCTGAGCCCCCAACTCTTTCCAGGCTTCAGGCCCCAAGCCCCCTTCCTTGCCGCCGCCTTCCTGACCCGCATGGGTCCAGCCCACGAGGCGTTCGCGTCTGCAGCCGGAGGTCAGCGAGGTTCACGAGCTGCCGAAAGGTCTGGGCGGCAAATTAACGCCAGGTATTTTATGGTGATTTCAGGACTAGTAAAGCCACCTTGGCAAATACAAGTGGCTTCTTCGCAGCGTTGCATCAGGGTCCCCGGCCTCCCTGCTGCCGGCGCAGTTCGCCCTGACCCCACTTCCAACCCTAGCCCTACCTCTGTTGTTTCTCTGCCTCCAGATGCTGTGTATCCTTCATCCTCTCTGATTCTCTAATCGAAGACTTACCCCAGAGTTCCCCAGTCCAGAGACTGAGGAAGAACAGAGAATTACTCTAAAGGCCTTTCCCCAGGGGAAGAAATCCCGGAGGCCCAGGGTGGCCGGCGTTGGGCGCGCCTTTTCTTCTGCCCACGGGAAGTGGCCAGAACCTCTGCCCCTCCCCCAGACAGACGCCCCCTAACTCGCAAGCTGCCCCCCCAAGAGTTTGGCACAGGACCAGGGGACCCTGCGGGCTCCTGGGAGGCGTCTACCGAAGCCTGCGGCGTCGGGGCAACTGTGGGAGGTCTCTGGGGACTCCAGGTCGGGCGCAGACGCGGGCTCGCTTCACCCCGACTTGCGCGGCAGCCTCTCCCCGGGGAACGCGCTGGGCGCCCCTGGGCGCCAGAGGTAGGGAGGAGACTGGCTGCGCGCCCAGCCTGGGGGAAGCTCTCCAGGCTAGCCGGACCGAGATCCAGACGTCCGGCTTCCACTCCCGAACGCGGTCCCCAGCCGGAGGAGACGCGGCCTGACCACCTGGCCAGCCGCGTCCAAGGCGCGGTCTCCCCCGAGCCCTCAGGTTCCCAGAAAACGGGAAGAAAGGCAGTTCGCTGAGCGGGAAGGCTGTGCGGCGGGTAGCACGCCGCGCGGGGGCGAAGGAGTGCGAAGCCGCGGGCTGGAGGGGGCGCGCGGAGGAGGGGGCGCGCAGGGGAGGGGGTGCGTTGCGGGCCACAGCCCCAGCTTGATAAAGGGAAAGCCTCACTTTCCCTCTCACTGATTTTGATTTGATGTGTCACCGGCGGTGACCTCGGGCTGGACCTTCCGGGGCTTGCTTAGCATCGGGCCCCTGATTGGAGTGTTTCAACTCAGCGATCTAATTGAGGGTTCATGTCATAACACATCAAACGGTGTCTAGTCTCCCGTGATGGAAGGGACCCGCCAGCCGCGCATCCCGGGCTCCTGGCGAGGACTTCCGCCCCTCTCACGTGGGGACTCTCAAACCGCGCCAAACCCTCGGGCTTCCCCTCCCCCAGCTGGGGATGGCAGGACTAGGAGCAAAGAGAAGCGGCCAACCGAGAGCCGCGCCGGCCGCGCAGACTTGGCGCCTTGCCTCGGGGATGTTTAAATCGCCGTCGAGTGTGGCAGGCTTGGCTTTGAGAAGCAAGGGGTCCCGCAGGGGAAGGAGCAAAGACCACGTAAGGAATCCTGAAGCCCGCTGTTGAGGCCTGGACTACTTAACGTACAGTATTTCTAAAAAAAATCTTCTTCACCTGGGGACCCCGGAACCCCAAAAGTTACACCCAAAGCTTGCGTTTTAAGAATGGGAGCGTGCGGATGAACTCTGCCCAGCGCGGATGGATTCAGAGCGCTTTAGATCTGTGACGACTGCATGTTCTGTACTGCCTCGCTCCCTGCCTCCTCCTCTCAACCCACCAGGAGAAGACTTGATGGCAAACTTTTAAAAATATGCCCACCCTTTCAGTTTGCTTTCCGATGTAACTGGGATATATTGACATGTTGAGCATTTACTGTGTACCGAATGCTTGGCTAACATCTGTTACATGAATTATTTCATTTAATTCTAGCAACATCTCCCTCCCCCAGGAAGAAAGTGCTACAATCCCTGCTTTACAGATGTTTTTAAAGAAGGCAGAGAGGTTAAGCAATTTGTTCAAGGTCACACAGCTAATGAGAGCTGAAGCATATAGCCAGTTCTGCATGCTTACCTCTGGCGCTATATGGATAGAGTAAGGCAAGAGGAGATTTCTAAAGGATGGTGGCAGCAAACAGAAGTAGAAAAAATTGACAGACTCCCTACCTCTGTAATCTCTCAAGACGCAGTTAAGAGTTGGAATGAAACTTTGAATTCACAGGTCTAAAACTGAGATGCACCTTGCTTCTTCTTTGATATCCCTGTAAAAGTCAAAACCCACCTTATCCCTGATCTTTAATTTTTAAAGGTAATTTTCACATAGCATGTATGTGAGTGAAAGTCACTCAGTCGTGTCCGACTCTTTGCGATCCCATGGACTATACAGTCCACAGACTTCTCCAGGCCAGAAGACTGGAGTGGGTAGCCATTCCCTTCTCCAGGGGATCTTCCAATCCAGGGATCGAACCCAGGTCTCCTACTTGTGGGCGGATTCTTTACCAGCTGAGCCACCAGGGAAGCCCTGACCTTTAAGAATGCCTCCAAATTGTGCTTTCAAGATGATTTTGGATCCACAGAGATGGGAAAATGTGTGTATGTGTGTTTGCACAGTCATAGGATCAGGATGGACCAGGTTGGATATACAGACATTGCAGTTAGCACATGATAACATTAAAAGACCGCAAGTACAGGAGGCTTGGATCCCCAACCCCGGGACCTGGGAAAGGCAGATGGTGAGAACTGTGAGTTCAGTGTGGCTGTAAGATAGAGGGTGAGGGAGAGCGTTTTAAGAATGAGGCGAAATTCATACTTTTTTACCTAAAGCACCACGTTAATTCCAACAAGGGACCCCCCCCCCAAAAAAAAACAGCCTCTTAAGGATGAAGAAAACAAAATGAATCTAACAACACTGCTGTGAGTTAGGTTTCCAGATAATTTTGAAATAAGAATACTGTTGTTTTTTTTTTCCCTGGTTGTTACAATAGCACTCTCAGAAAGGAGGCAGTAGGGAACAGATAAAAACCAACCAACCAAAAACAAAAACAAAAACAAAAACCCACCCAAAAAACCGAGATCTGAACATCCTTGAAGAACTTGACACCCTGGAAGTGAACCTCGGGAGAGTTTGCCCGGGATCGCTGGCTTCTAGGTTTACCTTCTGGGTCGCGATTGCCAGGGGGCAGGGCAGGACAGTCGTGGGGATAGTCTGGCGGCGGGAAGCACTTCTAAGAGCGGCATCGTTCCCTCCTGATTGAAGTGCGTCTGGCGCGGTGTGTTTATGCAAAACAGCGAGTTTCTGGGTGGACCTGGGCCGCAGAGTGGTGCAATCAACACAGCCGGGCTTTTGCCCGAACCCTGTTGTCGTTGGCAAACGGAAAATGAAATATAAGCAGGGAAGTATTTTAATGGGGATGGAGGGAATTCACAACTGTTAATTATTTGGTGACCTTGTATTCGATTTGTTTGAGTCCCTTATAAAAACACTAATGCAGACCAGACGGCCAAGTGAGGAAGCCGGCAGAAGGTTCCAATCTAGGCTTTATTTCCCCGGAAAGAGGGAACAGCCTTGGGAAAGGACTGCTGAGCGTTCAAGTGCGTGCGGGTGAGGACGCGCCCCCGCGAGCCCCGCGCAGGGTTTGCAAAGCCCTCCAGATTCAGGATCCCGCTCAAGTCCAGTGAACGGGCAGGTCCTGGAACTAACCCGGGGGGTAAGGGAAGGAAGCCTGA